TTGAGTTCTATAGTTTCTTTATTCAGCTTTTGTCTAGAGGATCTGTCTAATGGTGAGAGCGGTGTGTTGAAGTCACTCATAATTATTGTGTTGTGGTGTATTTGACTCTTGAACTTGAGGAGAGTTTGTTTTATGAACGTTGCAGCTTCATTGTTTGGTGCATACAAATTGATAATTGTTATGTCTTGTTGGTGGATGGTTCCTTTTAACAGTATATAGTGTCCTTCTTTATCCCTTTTGATTAACTTAGGTTTGAAGTTGATTTTATTCGATATGAGTATGGTCACTCATGCTTGCTTACGAGGGCCATGTGAGTGGTATGATTTTTCCCAAGCTTTCACTTTCAGCCTGTGTATGTTTTTCCTATCACATGAGTCTCCTGAAGGCAGCATATTGTTGGATTTGTTTTTTTAATCCAGGTTACTAGCCTATGTCTCTTGATAGGTGAATTTAGGCCATTAACATTTAAGGTTACAATTGAAATATGGTTCGTACTTCCAGTCATGTATTTATTTATTTATTTTAGTTTGGCTAGTTTTTCTTCTTTGGTTATTTTTCTCCCCCTTTACTGAGATGCCTCCCACTGTTAGTTTTGGGCGTTATTTTTCAATTCCTCTTCTTGTAGTATTTTGCTCAAAATGCTTTGCAGTGTTGGTTTTATGGCTGCGAATTCTTTTAGCTTTTGTTTATCGTGAAATATTTTAATTTCATTATTAAATCTGATGCTTAATTTTGCTGGATACAGTATTCTTTGTTGGAATCCATTATTTTTCAGTGTTTGAAATACATTGTTCTAGGATCCTCTCGCTTTAAAAGTCTGTGATGAAAAATCAGTCGTTAACCTAATTGGTTTACACCTGAATGTAACCTGCCTCCTTTCTCTCATAGCTTTTAATATTCTCTCCTTGTTCTGTATGTTGTCTATCTTCATAATTATAGGTTTTGGAGTTGGTCTATTATGGTTTTGAATGTTTGAGGTCCTGTAGGCTTCCAGGATTTGGCAATCCATTCCATCTTTCATCTCTGGGAAGTTTTCTAGAATTATTTCATTTAATAGGTTGTCCATTCCTTTGGTTTGAACCTCTGTACTTTCTTTTATCCCGATGACTCTCAAGTTTGGTTTTTTTATGACATCCCATATCTCTTGAATAGATTGCTCATGAGATTTAAGCATCCTTTCTGTGTTTACTATATTCTTTTCAAGTTGATAAACTTTGTCTTCATTATCTGATGTTCTGACATCTACTTGATCTAGTCTATTTGTAATATTCTCATTTGAGTTTTTAATTTGGTTTATAGTTTCCTGCATTTCTAGGATTACTGTTTGATATTTTTAAAATCTCTATCTCCTCATAAAGCTCATTCTTTGTCATTTGAATTTATTTGTTTGATTCTTTTTCAAAATATACTTTCATTGCTTGGACTTGCTGTCTCATGTCTTCTTTAATATTCCGTTCTATCTGAGTTAGGTATGCCTTGAGTTCTTTCCCAATCCCTGTTTCTAATGCTTCTAGGTCCTCCTGTAGATTTAAGTTGTCCTGCATTCTTTAGCTACTTCATGAAGGCCTGGCTATAGACCTCTTCCTAGAGTCTCTGCGCCGTACCTGCTGGGCCACACCTCGGGGTCTAGCCACGTGGTCGCCGGCAGGCAGGCAGTCTCCAGCCGCCCAGTCGAGCGGGCAGTGGGCAGGCGGGTGGTTGCCAGCCGGTGGGCGGTCTCTAGCTGCCCAGTCACGAGGGCCTGGCCTCTCGTCCCCTGGCTTCTCCTGCTCCCCTGGCCTTTTTCTGTATGATGCCTCTCGGCAGTTCAAACTGTACTCTGGGCCTTCAGTTTGCTGGGTGTGGAGGGTGGCTATTGAAAACTGGCACCCTATTGTTTTGATTTTTTTTCCGCTTGCCCCTCCCCCAGAGCTGGCAAGACAGGTTTTGTTTTTGCTGCTGATGGGAGGGGGAGTTGGAGGCCAGGTGTCTCTACCTTTACCCATGTCTCTATGCAGGCTCGTTCTGACAATCCCTCCCCTAGAAAGCCTGGGAGAGAATTTATGCGAATTTCCAGATGTATGGGAGATGGGCTGAGTAACACACACCTGTTTTATTGTTGCAATCTTTCGGAAACTGGCGGTGGTGATGTCAGCTCTCCAAGATGATGGCCGCTGGCTTCCTTGGTGGATTTTCCGTTGTCGGGGATAGAACTGGACCTCTTCCTTCCCCGTCTCAAACCCCGAAATCAGCCCGGTGCTCAATGAGGGCACAGCCAGCAGGACTCCACAGAATCTGTGGCACCGTTTCTTTCTGCTTGCTGGTCGCTTCTTGGCAGTGGCCCCTGTCTGTAGCCGCGGGGTGGGCCGTGTGGTGGATGGTGGATCAGTCAGCCTGTATCTCCAGTTGTACACTTGGCTCGCATTTGATACTCAATAACCGGTCCTCGGTGATGGAAATCCTTCTTCTATGTTTCGGTGCACCCCAATTTTGCTGTAAATTCCTAACAAGATAGCTTTTTGTCATTCTAACTCGTTATTCACCTGCGCAGTGACGCAGTACATGGGGTGTGATGCACTCTATTCACGGCCATCTTGGAATCTCCCGAAAGTTGTGTTCTTTAAGTATTTTTTTCAAATAATTTATATTTTCAAATGTATTACCATGAAGATTTTCATTGTATTCCCATCTTATCCTTTTAATACTAGAGTCTGCAGTAATATCTTTAATTATTAATACTGGTTATGTGGTGATTATTTTGGGGGGTACTGGGATTTCAACTCAGGGTTGCTTTAGCACTGAACTCTATTCCCAGTCCTAATTATCTATTGAGAGAGCTTCTCACTAAGTTGCCTAGGCTGGCCTGGAACTTGCAATCCTCCTGCCTCGGCCTCCCCACTAACTTTGAGTAGAGGTGTGTACCTCTGTGCCCAGCTTCTTGATCATTCTTGCTTAGGAGATGTCAATTTTATTATCCTTTTTAAGGTGCTGCTTAATTTTCAAAGATTCTAACTATTTTCTAGATGTCTTATTGTTATTGATTCTAAATCCATTTGCATTGTGATCAGAGAACATCCTCAGTGATCTCAATCCTTCCATAATCATGGAAACTTCTTTTACAGCCCAACATGTGACCTACAACCAAGAATGCTCAGTATGTGTTAGAAGAAAACATCTATTCAGAATTTGGTCAGGTATGATGTCTAATAGGTATGTATTTGGTCATGTTGATTGATATGATTGTCCAAATCTTCTCTATCCTCACTGATTTTGCTTTACTTAGTGTGTCAATTGCTGAAAGAAGGTATGCTTTAAAAAAAATCTCCTGACCAAGATTTTGATTTAATTATTTCTCCTTTTGTTTCTATCAATTTTTTCATTATGAATTTTAAAATTTTGTTATTAAGTTCATTAACATTTACAATTTTGAATCTTCTATATGAAATGTTTTATCATTACAAAAATTCTACACATTTAATATTGCCAATTCTTTCCAGTCTTGTATACCTGACTTCATAACTTGTATTCTCTTTATATTTCTAGGTTTCTTTCTGTAGTATGGATTGAACCCAGGGCTTCACAAATGCTAGACAAGCATGCAAACACTGAAGTGTACTTCCAAAACATTTATATATTTATTGATTTACTTACTTACTTACTTTGGGGTAGGGTTGTAGTAAGTTGTTCATGCTGGCCTTAAGGCCTTAAACAGATCATCCTGCCTCAGCCTCCCAAGTAGCTAGGTTATGGGCATCCCTTAGCATTTTTCAATAGGTCTACTGGCAACTAATCCCCTCAGCTTCCAGTCATCATAAAATGTCTTTATTACTCTTTATTTTTAAAGATATTTTGATGGATGTATAATTCTAATAGGTGGGGTGCTTTTTGTTGGTCAGGTCTGAGCATTTTAAAGGCCTCCTCTGCTCCATCACATGCTAGTTTGCATTTCTGAAGAAAAGCCGACTGCAGTACCTCTAAATGTTCCCATGTGTGTGCTCTGTCATGGCTACTTCTCAGGTTTTTTCCTTATCTTTGGTTTTCAACAGTTTGACTTTGACACTCTGTAACATATTTTTATTTGTATTTATTCTCCTTGGGATTCACTAGGATCCGAAGGCATTTGGGGTGGTTGGGGGGAGTTGTTTGCTTGTTAATTGTTTTGTGTGCGGTGCTATAAGAATCTCGGGCCTCCTGCAGCTAGGCAAGGGCTCCACTCTACTGAGCTACCTCCCATCCCTTACTAGGATTCTTTAATTGATAGTTTTCATTAACTTGGGGAAAAATAATCATTAGTTAAACAACTTTATTTTCCGGTTGGGCACAGAGGCACACACCTGTAATCCCAGCACCTCAGGAGGCACCGGAGGCTGAGGCAGGAGGATCATGAATTCAAAGTCATATTTAGTGACTTAGCAAGACCCCATCTCAAAATAAAAAATGGAATGGAATGCTGGGGTTGCAGCTCATTGGTAAAGCACCTCTGGGTTGAATTTCTAGTACAATTATTACAGCACAAGCCATAGATGCTGTATGGAGATATTTTAATTTCTCAGCCATTTTCTCTATGTTCTCTTTTACTGACTATCTTTTCTATTGACTCTCATTCTTCACAGTGTTACTTCTCTTGTTCAGGTCATCTGCTATGTTTTTGCTTTTCAGACTCATTTTATGAGGTTTTTTAAAATCTCTCTTCATTTTTGAGATCCCCATATTTACCCATTTGTTTTGTCTTTTGTTTTTGTTTATAAATTTCCAAGTGTATTTATAGTACTTTTAAAATTATTTTCTGCTAGTTCTTATGTCTGGGTTTTCTTACTTTTTTTATTTGTTGATTTGTTATGGGTCCTCTTTTGCACAAATGTGCTATAAATATTTTCTGGTGTGCCAAACACCATACGCTAATGATATGCCAATGAGATGCTATGTAGTTTAGGGTGGGCTTACAACCAAATAAACCCATCATAAGTTGAAAACATAGTAAAACAAGAATGCATTCAATACACCAAACCTACTGAACTTAACAGCTTAGAAACACAGTACAGAGTATGGATGTTCACTCTTGTGATCATGTGCTACCTGGGAACTGTGGCTCACAGCTGTTGGCCAGCATCTAGAGAGTATCCTACTTCATATCACTAAGTCTGGAAAAAGTACAGCTCCTTCTGAATGTATATCATTTTCACACCACTGTAAAGTTGAAAAATTATAAGTCAAACCATGGTAAGTCAGGGACCTTCTGTTTGTCAATAACAGTGAAGGCTGAATTATGCAACTGAGTTATGCAACTCAGCCTTGTATTTCTCTGTATCATTGCTAAAGTGGAGAGGTGATCATTTGGATTTCACCAAATATCTAGTTAATCTTGAACAAGGAAGCAACATTTAAGATTGAATTTATTGCTGGCTAGTCTTTCCTCCCAATATCACAGCTGTTCCTGACGAAGTCAAATTTCTTGGATTTTTTCCAGTGTGTGATCCTGGAGCCTGGTTAGTTTCACATTTAGGACCAGTAGAACCAGACGCTCTCATTTCCAAGCAAGCACCACAAGAATAAATAATACTAGAGAGATTTTTTTTCAACTTTTTAGCACCACTGTCTCTGTTCTTGGTGAAAATTAGTAGGTCAAGTGCATTTGGGTGGGAGGCGTGATGGGGATTGAACTCAGACGTGCCTAACCACTGAGTTACATCCCAACCATTTTTAATTTTATTTTGAGTCAGGAACTCACCAACTCGCTTAGGGCCTCTCTTAGTTGCTCAGGCTGTGAGCAACTAAGAGAGGCCCTGAGGCCTCCTGAGGCACTGAGATTACAGACATGCACCACATTACCTGACTAGGTCAAGTAAATTTTTCTCTTTATTTGTGAGGATTCTGTACTCCATTCTCCCTGCCCTGCCACCAGTAATGTTAGTACCTCACTGTCAGTCTTTGGCAAGCTTTCTCCTCCACCTGTGCCTCCAGAATGTCACTCCCTGACCTCTGCATCCACCACTCTTCAGTATTTCCTGGTCAAGTTTGAGTTTTATAACATCTTAAGGGGTTTTGTTTTGGTTTTGGGCATTGCCATGAGAGTGAATATCTTCCACCTTTTTCCACGTCCCGGTCAGAAAATTGTTTGTGTTTAAATTGTAGTCAGGTTGTAAAGAAAATGATAATTTTATTATCTTGTTTACACTGACCTGGCTCTCCTTTTAATTATCTTCTTCAGGATGGCAGGGGTGTTTTGAAGGGTAGTTATAGGTAAAACTCTGGAATCTAGGATTTTGTTTTTCTCTCAGAAACTTAAGAGCTCCCACTGCACAAGCAGAACACAGATGGGACATGTTCTCTGGGGCTCTGTGTGACTCATAATGGAGATCTCCACCCACACTCCTTCAAAAGCAAACACAGAGGGCTGGGTTTGTAGCTCAGTGGTTGGACACTTGCCTGGCATGACACTGGGTTGGATGCTCAGCACCACATACAAATAAATAAATTAAATAAAGGTATTGTGTCCAACTACATCTAAAAATATTTTTAAGAAAAACAAGAGACATGACTAAGGAACACAAGGAAACACAAAAGCTGACCTTGGAGCTTTTACAGCAGAGGAGAGATGGAGACACAACAGGGCACCAGAGACTCGGGCTTCGAGAGAAGTTCAAGTCAAAGAAAGTAGACCACTAACTCCAAGCCAGCAAAAAATAGAGCAGCCAGCAACTGAGAGTTTCAGGGAGCCGGTCCAGATGTGCACAATGAGAAGAAGTCAGGGCTGCAATGAATTCCCCTAGGACATCTGTTAGTTTCATATTCATCCTTGAAATAGCAAGAAAGTGAGAGCTAAGTCCTAAACCCTCATGCTGAACCTGAACCTCTGAAGAGCTAAGAAGACAAAAGGAAATCCTCTTTGGAGAAAATATTTCCTGAAGTAGGCCCACTAAATTTGCCTAGAATAAGAACAATTATGACCTCTCATCCTAAATTCCATTTGGAATCTCAAGGGGCTCCAAAGAGTCAAAACAAAATTAAAATAATGAAGCCTCACACTCCGTGATTTCAAAGCCTATTACAGAACTAAAGACAGTGTGGGGCTGGCATAAGACAGACATGAGGATGAATACCACCATATAAACAGCCCAGTAGCAACTCCTTGCAGGCCTGGTCAGGTCATTTGGACAAGACTATCCAAATGAGGATGGACAGTCACTTCAACAAATGGTTCTGGGTAAACTGGATATCCACAGGCAAGAGATATAAGTTGACCCTTACCTTATAGTGCATATGAAAATTAAATCAAAATGAATTGCATTCCAAAACATAAGATCTAAAAATGTAAAATTCCTAGAAGGGAACATAGGTGGATTTGGATATCACTTGGATATAACATGGTAGATTTGGATATAACATGTCAATGGATTTGGATATAATTTCTTAAAAGTAAGCAAAGATTTTGAATAGACATTTCCCTACAGGTTCACAAATAGCCTAAAATCATATGAAAATGGGCTCATCATCACTAATCAAGGAAATGCAAATTAGAGAATCACAGCCCCTGGGATAGGAGTTCCCTGTGTGTCTCCTTTGCTAGCAAAGCAATAAAACTTTTCCTTTTTTCTCAAAATTGTGTTCTCATTATTGGATTAGCATCAGGGACAAGGACTGAGTTTATAGCAACAAATTTGGCACCCCAGATGTACACCAGTGCCACCTCTGCTCAGCTTTCCTGGGCAGGCCTGGCTCTCCAAGGAGCCCCACTTCCAGCTGAGGATGCTAGATGGTTGGCAAACTCGAGAGCCAACTGCTGGAGAGTTAGGAGACGGGAGTCTGGCTCAGGTTGAACCAGAGATGCTATTCCTGGGAGTAAAAGAAGGGACCGAGGCACAATCCCAGCAGCTAAGAAAGCTTCTTTCCCTTCAGGGAGCTCCCCCATCTCCTGCTGTCTAGTACAGGTTGCCCCACTGTGGCCCACATTGAGAAAAAGGAAACTGAACTCAGGGAAGTCATAACACCTTGTCCATCTCATGAGTCCCCCAGGGTACGTGCAGAGAGCCTGGATTCCACACATCCGCTCCCTCTTTGTGGGAATATCTGTGGTGCCACTGATGCAGGAGTCATGGCTTGGTGGGACTTGAGACCTAGGAATATCTGCTCCCTTCTGGTCTGTTCTAGGTTCTCATCTTTTCATTGACATTGGGTTCAGGATTTCCCTTCTGTTGTTTATCTATGTTTTTAATGCCCCGTTTAAGACGTGAGCAATACTGCATTGATCCTATGGGTTGTCTCTTGGGAAAGATCTTGGATGGCCTTTTTAAAGGTTCCCATCTGTCAGCCATGGTTTTGGAGATCTGTGATTGTTGTCTCTTGTGTTTCCATTTTCTAAAATCTTGCATTGGAGTTGGTCTGTCAGAGGTAAAGTAAGTTGAAGAAAGGGCCACCTTTAAGTAAAACCTCTCTTAAGATGTGCTTCACTGCAATGATCTGGCTTTTGAATACCTTTCTGAATTATTATACAATCTTGCAGTTGGAGTTGATCTGTCAGAGGTAAATTAAGTGGAAGAAATTTGTATCTGTAGGTCAGTTTCAAACGTTCCCATCTGCCAACTATGTTTTCAGTGATCCTCTTTCTTGTCTCTCTCTGGTTTTTGTACCTGTTATTTGCCCTAAGACCTGGGTCAAGTTCTGTTGATCTTATCTGTATTCTCATGAGAAG